TGCCAAATGTCAAGCTCTGGTGCATTGAGTCTCCTTTACTATAATAAAGTACTAGTATTTCTGCCCGTCCTATGCATGGGTTCGGACAAATTTTTTTCCCCGATTATACATTATGAATCTTGATTTTTATTTTGAATATTATTCTAAGGTCAAATATAAATGATCTAGGTTTGATGTATTTCTAGAAATCTATAATTTTTCTCTATTTATAAATTCAAAATATATTAATACAAAAAATGATAGTGATCCAATGATTCTTTTTCCTCACATTAATTTAAAAAAGCTAAATTACCGACATTATAATTATATACTCCCTATGTCCCCGAGTATTTGTCCACTTTTGACTTTTTTTATCAAAATTGGTAATAATATAGTGATATTAGATATTGTTACAAAATTCGTTTTATTTGATTTATTATATTATTTATTTTCAAAATAGTATTTTATCTACTTAATATATAATATATATTTTATTTAATTATAAGTCAAATGTTGAAAACAGTTAATCAGAAAAAAATCAAAACTGAACAAATATTCAGGGATAAAGGTAGTAATTAAAAAAAGGATTCTTCTCATCCATAATTCCAACTACCCCTCCCCCGCAATGATTATAAAAAATTATTATTCTTTCTTGCATTATTAGAAAACAGAATCTTAAATTAGTGATCCTAAATCTCTATGATTATAAATTTTAATTTTAAAATATTAAGAATGAATTATTCTTCTCCCCCCATATTGATTTTTAAAAAACATTAAAATGTTAGTGCTCCAATGATATTCTGGTCAAGATATTAAATATTTTATGAAAATATAAATAGTTACAAATGGGAAATTATATTTTCTTTGATGTGGTTGTAACTTGTAACTGAGTCTTGAACTTATTAGCTATGGCACCTTAGATTTTCTGTACAATTTTTCTTACTTTTTTGATTATCTTAAATCTTCATTGTCACAAATCTTCTCACGCTCCCCTCCACACCTTGATATTCTTTGTCACAATTTTCTATGCATAAATCTGTGTCGTCTCATAAAATATCATGCTATGAAGTTTTCTTGTACGATTGCGCAAATGAAAACGTAAGAAGTAAGTCCTCTCTTATTCAAAATTTCTTAATTTTATGTATAAACATTTTGAATTGTAACACAATATAAGTATGTACTGAGTAAATCATAAGTTACAATATAAGATTATTTTGATTGAAATAGTAAATCAAGTTACTCAGACAAAGTATAAAAGTCTTATTAAATCTTTTTTCTAATTTGTTAATTTTAAATATTCAATATTTTAAAAATAGTCAAATAGTATATGTATAATCCATTTGTCTAAAAATTAAGTACATAACCATGACATGTATAAGTACCTTAGAAAATATAGTCTTAAGTCTTTTAATCACCTAATTACAAGTTATAAATTCCTTAATTTGAGTAGTCTCAAAATAGTTTTTTCGAATAAGGTATTTTCCAAAATCAGTGTTATTAAGCATTAATTATCTATGTAGTACTTTATACTTGAGATTTATTCACTCAGTGTCCTCCGTATATGTTTGTTAATTAAATGGATATGAAGTGGACGAAATTTAGGTATTTTCAACATTTAAATGTAGAGTAATTTTTCAAAATGACCCTTTCGAATAAACCATTTTCTAATCTAGGTCTCCGTTATAATAATTATAATTTTATCTCAATTGTACATTTAGGGGCACCTTAATGTTTTGTGTCCCTCTATTAGGCACTCATGTTCACGCTAGTAAATTTCGAATGAGGATGACATCGCCTTCGATCCCTCACTTCATATCTATGTTGAATTTTGATAAAATTCACGTATGAAAAATACGTGATTTTTTTTTTTGCAAATACTGTTTTGTTGTATATATCTCATGCGAATATTTTTTATATTTTTTAAAAAAAGTAGTAGTTGTGACTTCAATGAAGTCAAAAGTGAAATACCTATAATTATTTTAAAATGTTTTTGTAATTTTTCTTTGTGAAAACCCTTGCAATTGTATTTGTTTTGGTGTTTAAAAATAAATTCATATCAAGTGAAGAAAATTTTGGATGTAAAATACATGTGATTATTTTTATGTGATAATTTTTTAAAATTTTATGTGAAAAATGAAACTATTATTTTGGAAGTTGATTTTTAAAATTTATACTATTATTTTAATTATCTTAGAAGTTGATTTTATAAAAAAAATTATTAAAAAATGAATTTTAGTTCTCAATCAATTGCATAAAATTTCATGTAGGTTCTAATTTCTTCAATAATACTCTGAGTGTGTTTGGATTTGATTTTCTCAATTGACTTTTCTTGTCAATTTTGTATACTTTAACCTCGATATATAGAACAAACATTGTCTTTCGATAGAAATGCATTACCAATAACTTCCTTTTGAAACTAAGGAATCTCTTAATGTTTGGTAGCTCCTATTTTAGAGATATAAAAAAATATGCAATTTTATTTTGGTATTTTCTCCATGTTTATTCCTATTCAGGTACAGAGTATTTTTTTCCAAAAAATTATAGCAACACTGTACATAAGACATATACTTCGTATACAAGTTAAATTGGATCTATCCATATTTTGATTAAAATTGTCACGTTATTCAATCGTTAATAGGAGGCGGGTGATTTTTTAAAATGTTGCCATGAAAATTCGCCACTTGTTGCAATTCTAGAAGTTTAATTCTCAAATTTAATATATAAAGATATTTCTTTTATGGAAATACTTTCATTTAAAAACATAAGTTTTATCATTTATAAACACTGTTTATATCAAAAATGAATATTTTTAAAGACTCAATATTGTGATGTGAATATATATAATATCTCAAATAAAATTTAAATCTTGATAGATTTTTTATACTCCCTATTATATATTTAAGTAAATTTTAATTATTAAAAAATTATTGAATACATTAAATCACAAAGTTTTCATATTAAAAATTATCTAATATACATAAACCCATATTGCACTAAATTTCTTTAATACATTTCTCATCTTTAATTAGTGGTATAAGATGAGCTACTCCAAAGTATATTTAAACTCAATAAATTTTCATACAAAAGAATAAATTAATAAATTTTAAAAAAGTATATTTTACTCAAAATACTTTTAATATTATTTTCGTTTTTATGAAAAAACATCTGATCTAATCATGATTAGTTTCTTTCTTATGATTACTTTATTTAATTTTTGTTGAAAAATTACATTTATTTCATTTATATAATTTTCAATAAATTCAAAAGTCCATAATGTTTTAATATAAAATATATTGTTTTAAACTCATCATATTTTAAAGGTTATCATAAATCAATTTCCATAAATGATGAATGAGTATTTAAACCATGCCATGTAATTTATTCATGTGCCATGTCATTTAAAAATTGCCATGTAAGATAAAACATGTCAACTTTTTGGAGACATGAGTCTCAAATATTATATTAAAGGATAAAGATTAAATTCAGTCAATGATGTTGCAATTGTAAAGAAAATTAGCTTGAACATAGCATTTCATGGTGACACAATTTTTTGATCAATTTTATTATATAATAGAAGATAATGAAACATAATATATTTTTTAATTTATATAATAAATCATCTAAGGACTATAAACACAAATTCTCTTGTGATAAATCAAATCAGAAAAAATATATTGTAACTATGGAGTTATGTATAATATATTTTTCGAATTTAACACATTTATAGTTCAATCATCTCTTGTTTTTAAATTTTTTAATGTAATTTTTATGAAAATATACTCTCTTTTTTTGAAAGTATGAAAATATACTTTAATGTAGTTTAAAATTAATTAAAAGTGTAATTATAAATGAAGAGTAAAAATATTTAATTGGGAAAGAATACTAGTATAAAAAAAATGAATTTTCCTATTTCATAATTAAATTTACTCAAAGATTTCTTACCATAACGATAATTTCACATTTTATACGTCCTAACTTAGGTGGAATATTAGGTGTCAAAACAAATGCAATTTTTTAATAGGTGACGAAATATTTTATTTATTACTCGTAGGTGTTAATATTTAAATAAATATTATCAAACTAATTTTATTTATTTTGATGTATCATAAAGAAATATAAAATTTATTTATAGGTGAAGACATATTATCATGAAAAGGACTTTTTTTTCATTTTTAAGTTTACTCAAATATTTCTTATCCAACTTTTAATTTCATAAGAAAAATTAGGTGGCATGTGAAGTGTTAAAAAAGACCACATAAGCATGCCACATGTCAAGTTCTTAGAAACTCAACTCTCCTTTTTATATATAAAGGATATAGGATTTCTTTTAATAATAAAAAAACACTATTGCACCCCTAAAAAAATGGATCACCGCATTTTTAAAAAAATGATACAAATACAATACAAGTTTCAAAATGCATTTTTTCCAAAAATATATTACGGAGTAATATAACATAACTCATTTAATTCAAAAGTGTTTAGAAGAAAAATTAAAACAAGACATAATATCAAAATTATATATGCAATATTGGTATCATTGGGTAGATCTTGCTGAAAATAGTTCCAATGATATATTATTTGTCAAATATTTACTTACATATAAAAGGTTATGAAAAAAATTGGTTTTGTTGTTGAAAAATAAAATTAAATGAAAAAAGTAAAAAAAAAGAATTACCTGACGACCGTCTTCACGCGCAGCGCTCACGGGAATTGGGGGGGGTTTATACGTGAAGCTTGCTTACATGCCAATGCCACAGAGGGTAAAGCGAAAAGATGGTGAGGCACTACACATAACCTTAACTGAAGAATTGAATAATTTCCAATAATGATAATGTGTATATTACAAGATATATATACTAGGAGAGTCCTAGTTATGTTAGAAAATATATAATTAAGGTAACGTATACACACATGGTAACTAGTATATACAATATACAATAATAACTACACAATATATTAAATATAGAAACACTATACTCCCTCCGTCCTACTGTCTTTGTCCACTTACCTTTTGGCACACCATCCAATGCACTTCTTTAATCCATTTTATCTTGTAATTTGTATATTAAAAAATTATAGAAATTATATATTAATAATCTATATGTTAAGACAAATCAAACAAGATCACACATGACTATATTTAGACTTACACATTGAGAGAATTTGATGAGTCAAAGTCCTTAGATGAACAGTTCCAAAAGTCAAAAGTGGACAAAGACAGTGGGACGGAGGGAGTATTTAACATGCTCCCAACGGCACTGGTAGTGACTTTCGGATTCCCAGGCTATCACGAAACTCTGTGAAGATCATGGTTGGGAGACCCTTTGTAAAGATATCTGCATACTGCAACGAAGAAGGAAGTACTTGTCTGAGAGCCACCTTGTCTCGGACAAAGTGTATATCAACCTCAATGTGTTTCGTGCGCTGGTGTTTGACAGGATTGGCAGAAAGGTAGACGGCACTGACATTGTCACAGAACACCAAGGTGGAACGGCTGAGAGGCTGCTGGAGTTCCTGAAGTAAGTTACGCACCCAGCTGACTTCCGCGACTACATTCGCTATGATCCTGTACTCCGCCTCAGCGCTCGATCGTGACGTGGTTTGCTGATGCTTGGTGGAAATGAGGTTGTCGCCAAGGAAAATGCAGTAACCAGTGGTGGATCGGCGAGTGTCCGGACAGCCAGCCCAGTCAGCATCCGAGTAAGCTCGCATAAAGTCTGTGGGGGATGGAGATATGGAAATGCCGTGAGAGGGTGTCCCATGAAGATAACGTAACACCCGTTTCATTGCTGTGACATGCGGGAGGCGTGGATCATGAAGAAAGAGACACAGCTGCTGGACGGCATATGTGATGTCAGGACGGGTGAAGGTAAGGTACTGTAATGCCCCTACAATGGACTGGTACAAGGTAGGATCTGGTGCTGGAGGACCTGCTGAGGCCGAACGTTTCCCACGAGTGTCAACTGGGGTTGATGCAGGTTTGCACGAAACCATACCGGCGCGCTCAAGGATGTCGTAGATGAACTGAGTCTGTGTGAGAAATAACCCATGAGTCGTGCGCTGGACATTGATCCCCCCAAAAAAATGGAGGTCCCCCATATCCGTCATAGCAAACTCGCCCTTCAGTCGGTGAATGATAGACTAAAGGAGTGCCTGGGTGGAGGCTCTGAGTATGATGTCATCTACATATAGAAGCAAGAACGCCATCTGTGATCCTTGCCCATAAGTGAACAAGGAGGTATCGTTCTTGCAACCGCGGAACCCAAGAGAGAGAAGGAAGCCCGTGAAACGCTGGTACCAAGACACCGGCTTTCGCACGGGTGATCATGGGGTGTGTGGGTAGAGGCGAGGGGGCTGTGTCGGGTGAGGGAGTGGGCTGGGTTGAGTTTTCATTGTGGGCCGTGGAGGAGGTGGGCTGGGCAGATGAGAGGGGGGTGCTGGTGTTACNGGGAAAGCGGGGTGGGGCCTGGGGAATTGGGCTGGGGTATTGGGTTGGTATTTTGGGGTGTTTGACATTGGAGATGGTGGTGGTGTGGGGCAACGCAATCCTCCATGGCGTCGAGGAAGTTGTAATTGGACGGGGATTGTGGCGGTGCATAAGGGAAAGTGGACTCATCAAAGGTGACATGGCGGGAGACAATGATTTTCTGAGTGGCTAAATCTAGACACCGGTAACCACGTTGAGACTCGGGGTAACCAAGAAAAATGCAACGCGCAGAACGGGGGGCTAGTTTGTGGGGTGCTGTGGCGGATAAATTGGGGTAACAAAGAAATCCAAAAACACGAAGGTGGTGGTATGATGGGGGGAGTTGTATAGGACTTCATGAGGTGTGCGTTTTTGGAGAGTGGTGGTGGGGAGAAGGTTGAAGAGGTGAGTGGCCATATGGAGGGCTTCAACCCAAAATTGAGGGGGGAGATTTGCTTGGAAAATGAGGGTGCGGACAATGTTATTTAAAGTACGTATAGTGCGTTCTGCGCGCCCATTTTGTTGACTCGTGTAAGGACAAGAAAATCGAAAAAGAATACCCAAGGACTCAAAGAAGGTGACTAGGGGGTTGTTTCTGTATTCTGTGCCATTGTCACATTGTACAGCTTTAATGGTGGTTTGAAATTGATTTTTGACCATGGCATTAAATTTTACTAGATGAGAGTAAGCGTTAGATTTATGACGTAAAGGAAAAATCCATAGATAGTGCGAATAATCATCGAGTAAAAGCATGTAGAATTTAAAAACAAGTAACACTAGGAACGGGCGATTGCCATAAATCTGTATGCATTAATTGAAATGGAAAAAGAGATACACGACTTGAGGACTGAAAAGGAAGGCGAACATGTTTGCCTAACTGACATGCATGACATAGAGAGTCCAACTGAGATTTATTAAAACTATCTAAATAAGAGGAGATGCCATGGAGTACTGCTGGGCTTGGGTGGCCAAGTCGGCGGTGCCACGTGGACAAGTCGACTTTGGCAAGGTGGAGGTGCGCTGGAGACGGAGATAGTGGGTAGAGGTGTCCGTCACTACTGGATCGCTGAATCACGGCTCCTGTCCGTTTGTCCTTCACAAAAAAATCGGATGAATCAAATTCAACGGAACAGTTGTTATCACGAGTAAATTGATGGACAGAAATAAGGTTGTGGATAATATGTGGGGAGACTAGGACATTTTTAAGGGAAAGGGGAGGGTTGGTGTTAAGGATACCGTTACCGGAGGCCGTAGTGCACACTTTAGATCCATTACCTACAATAATATGAGAAGGTGAAAAAATGTTTGAAGGAAATACATGAGATAAAGTATCTGGATCAGCGGTGATGTGGTGAGAGGCTCCAGTATCCATGAACCAGGCGGGGTGGGAGTTCAGGCTTAGTTTGTGAAGGGTGTGAGCAAGGGCAGTGGGTGAGCTAGGGTTTGTATGGGGGTACGGGTAGGGTGGGTGGGTGCTATGGGTTGCGGGTAAGGGGTAGGATTGTGGGTGGGGGGTTTGGGTAAGGGCCTGGGTAGTAAGGAGGGGTTTGGGGCGGTAGGGTAGTATGGGTGTTGGGTTAGGGTTTGGGCCACGTGAGCCTGGGCTGGGTAGGGTGGGTAGGCTGAGTAAGGGCGTGGGCTGAGGAGACCTGGTGTGGGGTTGGGGAACTGCCAGGCTTGAGATCCGGTGGGTTTCCGTTGATTCGAGCCACCACGACTGCGGCCACGTCCTCGTCCTCGGTTGCCGCCGTTAAAACTCCGAGGGGAACTGTCGTAGCCACGACCAGGGCCATTCTGCCGCTGCTGCCCGCCCCCTGCAGGATTCCCGCCGCTACTTCCGGTGCTGAGGAGGGCCGTCGACAAGCCGGCACCGTGGGTGGCGTCGTTTTGTTGTTGTTCAACGAGCAAGAGAGCCGAACGGACCTCCAAAAAAGTGGGGAACGGAGTTTGGTATTGAAGAAACGTAACCTGAGCCCGGATGTCTTGAGGCAAACCTTGAAGAACTTGTAGAACCAGGGCATGTGATATCGACGAGATTTTTGAGGAGATGGCAATATTCATTGATCGTCCGAGTCCCCTTGACGGTTGTCCGAAACCGGTCCTCCAACTACATTGCACGAGCGTGTTTATTATCATGAAACAACTTGTAGATCGCCGTCCAGAGGGAATGAGCGGTGGGGCTGCTGGCGAGAACTAGATCCGAAACTTCGTTAGTGACGGTGGAAAGAATCCACCCTTGGAGTAAGGCATCAAATTGGAGCCATTCAACGTCGTCGGAGGAAGAGGCGACGTTGGTGCCATCAAGAAATCCCATGAGGTTGAATCGGAGAACAAGAAGACGGAATAATTTGCTCCACTTTTTGTAGTTTGGTTCGGAGATGCTTAGTTGAATCGGGATGTGGAGTTTGATGTTGGAGATGGTGGTGAAGGCAAGGTGAGGAATTTTGGTTGGAGAAGTAGAATTTTTGTCAGAGGAGACAAATGATACTTCGGCCATGGTAGCGTCGGTGGGGAGGTGCGGCTGTGTAATCGCCGGAAGAGAGGGGAGAGAGGATCGGCAGTGAGAGGGCCGAAAAAGAGGAGAGAGCTGTGACCTAATGAAGCTCTGATACCATGAAGAATTGAATAATTTCCAATAATGATAATGTGTATATTACAAGATATATATATACTAGGAGAGTCCTGGTTATGTTAGGAAATATATAATTAAGGTAACCTATACACACATGGTAACTAGTATATACAATATACAATAATAACTACACAATATATTAAATATAGAAACATTTAACATTAACACATCTAAATAATCAAGGATTACTCTTTTTTTAACACAAGGATTACTCATTTCATTTACATTTGAATGCAAGAAGGGGGGGGGGGATTTTTAACCGAAACCATCTCCTATAGTACAATTTCGACATGCCAATTTCCCAGGAAAAGCCACCACACACAACCACCATTTAGCAGGTCATAAATAGGAGACTACACACGCCCACTTCGATTCTATAGGCACCACCAAACTTATCTGGGCAGCCGAAGATCCTCTTCATTCTAAAATTGAGATCAGTCTAAAGAATGGGTCTAGTTTTTGAGGATCTTCCAGGTGTTGTATGAGCACTAAATTGATGTGTCCCAAGCCATGGGTCCAGTATACTTCTAGGATTCGGCCGTGTTGCAAATATTGAGTCGTTTGTATTATACCCACTTTGGCCCGTGACAGGATACGATGAGTGTTGTGGGGAGAGATAGCAGCTCCGGCGTGCTGGTGCATGTTGTCTCAGAGGGCTTGAACAGGGAGATACTGGCAAAGATGTTATACTTTTTGTAGTATCCCTGTAGAAGAAAAAATGCAGTAGGATAACTATAAATAATTGAATATTAGTACTACCAAAGTTTATTTCTATCAATGTCAGTACCTTGAGCTGATAATGGCTCTAGAAACGGTTAGAACTGGTCTCGTTAAATGATTTGAGGCCTCAAGAGACCTCATGTTGCTCCGGCTGGGATGTAGATCGATGGCTAGCTGTATAAAATTAAATAAAAACCAAATGCGAAAAAAAAAAGACGGTCTCAGAAGGCTTAACATCTTGGGGTTGAAGAAAAGCAGCAAAGATTGTATAACCATATAACACCCATAATCCCAAAGTAATGTGAAACTGCAACCAGATAATTTTACCTTGGTGCGGTTTCCATCAAAGAGGCCAGATTGAGTATCCTTATTTACATTGATTTCAGGGATTAATCCTCTTGCAGCCTTTTGGTCTGTAATAAAAGGATGTTCTAGAAGCTGTGCTGCGGTAGGACGTGCAGATGGCTCTCGCTGCAAACATAACTTTATAAAACTTTTGGCATCATTGGATAGGTGATCGGGGATTTCAGGCATATCTTTGCTGTTTCCAATTTTAAATATGGCAGCAACCTGTCATGTAAAAGAAAGTGGCAAAATTTGAGGATTAATTCTTCAATACAAACCCGAAATGATGAGTTCATTGTTCTGAACGAACGCATATATCTAACCCCTTCATATTGGCTCCAAGGCGGCTTTGATGTTGCCATTTCAAGAATCGTACACCCTAAGCTCCATATATCCACTGCAAGGCTGTAGCCATTTGTATTCATGACTATCTGAAAGTAGATAACAGGGGTTGGACCAAAATTCAAACAAGAACATGGCAAAATAAATTATGTCCGAATGGTTTAGCAGTAGGTGAAGGGAAACATAGGTATACCTCAGGTGCCATCCAATAAGGGCTTCCTTTGAAAGATAGCATTGAAGAATAAGAATTAATCTGGTAAGAAGTAATTCAGGAGAGAAGATTCAGACGATGAATACTGCACCTATATCAGAACAAGAACTTAGGCTTACGTATTTTAAAAAATGATAAGA